ATTTTTGAAAAGTCATTTAATAATTTATCTGTGCTATTTATATGACCCGAAACGGCTTCCTTTAGCAGGTTTTTATGGTTTTTGTTTCAGTTCTGCTGTCATAAGCATAGATAATTATGCTTGCTTCATACCACAGTAACTGCATGTAATTTGGTTCCTTTTTTCTTATTAATTATTACTAATTTCACTTTAACTATATTTGTTATTTTAATACAGGTTGTGTTTTTTATTGTTATAGCTGTTTAAATAATAAAACAGCTTCTCTCATCTTCTTCTTCTGAGTCATAAAGAAAAGTTTGCACTTCAGCCCTTCATCCATTTTCAGTTTTAACCCTATTATCAGAACACACTGTCTTAACATTCTCGTACATTTGTCCTGCAGTAGAGAAATAAAGATGTTATCAGATAACATGAGTTAAAATTTCTGGATTTTTTCATGAACACTGGTAATTTACAGCTCCATCTGGGCTTTTATCTTCAACAGGGAAGAGAAATTATGGAATATAAAATGTGGTGACTTTTTTCCTCTTAGAACTGCTTTTAATCCCACCTTCAGCAAACATTTGGAAAATGTCATCTAAGATTTTACATTTGTAGAAATAGTTTGTTGCCAGCATAATTTAGTTTTTGGTGTTGTTGATAAAATGATGTGAATTTAATGCGAATGACAGATTTCCAGCATCAGTTACTGCTGCCTGCTTCCGCTGTACAGGCTGTGACTACTCTGTGGGATGTTGGTGTGGTTTTAGATGTGCTGTTGATGGACAGCATGTCTGATGGACAGAAAAAAAGACCTGATTTCAGAATGATAGATTCTGCTCATCACCTCTATACTTCTGTCCAAAAATAGGAATCAGTGAAACAAACTAAAACATAGTTTTACACATATATTAACCAGAGTCCTTCTGGGTCAAAACCTACTTGACTTTTATACATCTAAAAATAACATGTTCAAACTGTTATTCATGTCATGAGTACATATGATTCTAGCTGCTGGTCATTATAAGCATTTGAAGCTTGGCTGGTGCCATAAAGTCCGAACAGATGAGAATTTATAGCATAAAAAAAATCATGTACCTGGATACAGGATATTTGGTCTTTTACTAAACAATATGTTCAATAAGACTCTGAAGAATTCAGCCGAGGAAAAGGCTGATGTGATGGAACACAGAGTTCAAGAAAGGTCACAGTGGAGTGACCTCCAGCAGAGCTCACACAACCAACCAACCATCCATCCCACCATCCCGCCCCTTCCTGTTAGCAGAAATATACTGAGGACAGCACATGATGGTCAGAGCAGAGAGACGTACAGCTGGACATGGATCACCTATTAGTGCTGCTTCTCCTGTGGAGCTCAGGTAGGACACCTGCACACACACACAGTTCAGTTTTGAAAAACACCTTCTAGTTAGAATCTTTCAGACTTCAGACAGGTGATCCAGGTGATCCAGGTGATCCAGGTGATTGATATATGTATTTTTTGTCTGCTTATTTTGTTGGTTTTTGTTTTTTGCCCTTTATCCCCGCTGTTTTTCATTCCCTCTTTCTTTTCCCCAGTCAAGTCTGTCCCGTATCTAGCAAGTGAAAATAAAATAAAATAAACAATAAAAGGTGAATCAAATAGACCATTACGGCAAGGCTGGGATGGTCCACTTGGTAAAGTAAATCCGTTGGGTATCTTTCTTCACCTTTAGACAATAATTCCGATGGCAAAAGAACCAAACGGGACAGGCAAAAAAAAAAAAAGAATCCTTCAGACTTTGTCAAATCAAAGCCATATTTTAATATATTGACAGTCACTTGTGAGTTGTTTTGTCAGACGGGTCAATATTCAGTGATGATCTCTGTGCAGCAGCACTCACTGTCGGACTTCTTCACTGATGATGATGAGTCACAGTTCCTTTACTCATGAACAAAAATAACTCAAGAAACTCTAATGTCTCTGTAAAGCTCACTCTGAATAACCAGCTGAACACACCTAAAGACTGTTTCCACCAGCTGGAGCTGATTCTAGCCTCTAACAATCAGAGAGGAGCCCAAACTTTCTGTCTTTCTGGCTGCTGTTACAACCAAATTTCCCCTTGTGGGACAATTAAAGGATTATTCTATTCTAAACTGTACTGTGTTATCCACTACACAGCAGACTTAACGCCTCCTCACTAACAACTCCACTTTGAATGAATGAACGAACTACGTCTACTATATTTTAGAGCCCAAAGAGGGAAGCATAGCCCCATCACGTCTAGACTTCTTATATATATGAAAATGATGGAATTAAAAAAAAACAAGACTCACTGTAATAGAGGTTAAAGTAGAGCTCTTCCTTGCCACCATTGCAGTGTGCTGCTCAGAGGAAATCATCAGGTTGTTTGTGACCTTCTACAATAATATAGCCGTTATCCTATTAAATCAAATTGTATTTTTTTTTTAATTTAAAAATAGAAAGAACCTTGAGAAGACTATTGTTGTGAATTGGCCTGTTGTGGCTGTGGCTCAGGTGTTAGAACAAGTCGCCTATTAATTGGAAGGCTGGTGGTTTGATCCACGTCTGCTGCAGTCTGCATGCCAAATATCCTTGGCCAAGATACTAACCCCAGGTTCCTCTCTGATTGTTTCTCTCACTGTAAAATCATGAATGTTAGATAGAAAGCATTTATATAGAAAAATGTTCTTGAGTGAATGAAGCAAGTTGTACAAAAGCACTTTGAGTGCTCAGTTAGGGTAGAAAGTGGTTTAAAAGAAACAGTCTATTTACCATAAATAAAATAGAATATATATGTGTGTTATTAAACTACAGTGATAACATGTACTTCCTGTTTTCATCAGAAACTCCTCATTTCACAATAAGGCTTTTATTGTGAAACATTTTCAAGAACATGCTCCTCATTTTGTGACAGTGGCTGTTTCACATGTTTTAGAAAACTTCCCTTGTGAAGTGAGATGCCCAGAGTAGCATTTATTTTACTTTCAAGGAAGTAAAAGCATACACGGTCAACGTCGAGCGCTCGCCGGAGCAAGCCTGCGAGTTTCATCCATACACTTTTTCCAGCATTATCCTGTTATAAACTGTCAGTTACATGATGTACTCATACATGATTATAATTGTGCTCTGATTAACAGATAGAAGAGCAGAAATGTGAACTGAAAACAAGATAGATAGAGAGAAACAGAGGGACATACATTTCTTCAGCTTACTGTTAAGAGTATTGCATAACTTTAATAATTTTGCTGTCAATATTTTTTTGTCAATATTTTTGTTTTTGTTCTGTTCACAAGCAGAATATTATACATGCTATCATTAGGGCTCATTATATATATATATATATATATATATATATAAAGCTCCTAACTTGCAGGGCAAAAAAAATCTGCAAATATACAAAATTACATTCAGGATAATGAAGTCAGTGAATCAGATCAGATGCCTGCAGTCAGCATAATACCATGCCCCCATTTCTCTGTATAAGAAAACAAGTTTACCAATTGAAGAGACTTCACCCCTAACAGAAGAAAAAAGGAGAAAGTGCAACTTAATGAATTTAAATAAGAGTGTGTAAATGGAAAAGGGACAGCTCCCTTAAGTGTCTCCACTTAAGTGACAGATGTTAAACACCTTTTAAAGATGAGGCTTGGGCTGAAATAACAGGGGTGATGAATATTGTTTCTAATGGGACAATTAGCCTGGCTCAGTGAAAGAAATTATTTAAAAATAAATTTGATGTTGGAAAAAAAAAGAACCAGCCCACTGTAAGAAAAAGAAGAAAGAGGGCTGACATGTAATCATTGAACCCAAGAAAATAACTCATTTACAAAGAAACATCAATATCATCCAGCATTCTGGGATAGTGCCCAGAAATTAAACTTAGTGATTTCATCCAGTAAGAGGATGTCATTTTTCATATATACTGTCCTAGAATGTACCACAGGTCTTCAAACTGGCAATAGGTAAATCGTTACTTAAAAAGCCATCTCTAGACCCAGCAGTCTTAGCTAATTATAGGCCAATCTCAACCTTCCTTGAAAAGAGTAGTTGTCAAACAGCTAACAGATCATCTGCAGAGGAATGGTTTATTTGAAGAGTTTCAGTCAGGTTTCAGAGCTCATCACAGCACAGAAACAGCTTTAGTGAAGGTTACAAATGATCTTCTTATGGCCTCTGACAGTGGACTCATCTCTGTGCTTGTCCTGCTAGACCTCAGTGCAGCGTTCGATACTGTCGACCATAATATCCTATTAGAGCGATTAGAACATGCTGTAGGTATTACAGGTACTGCGCTGCAGTGGTTTGTATCATATCTATCTAATAGACTCAATTTGTCATGTAAATGGAGAGTCCTCTTCACACACTGAGGTTAATTATGGAGTTCCACAGGGTTCAGTGCTAGGACCAATTCTGTTTACATTATACATGCTTCCCTTAGGCAGCATCATTAGAAGACATAGCATAAAATTTTCACTGCTATGCAGATGACACCCAGCTCTATCTGTCCATGAAGCCAGATAACACACACCAATTAGTTAAACTGCAGGAATGTCTTAAAGACATAAAGACCTGGATGGCCGCTAACTTTCTGCTTCTTAATTCAGATAAAACTGAGGTTATTGTACTCGGCCCTGAAAATCTTAGAAATATGGTATCTAACCAGATTCTTACTCTGGATGGCATTACCTTGGCCTCCAGTAACGCGGTGAGGAACCTTGGAGTCATTTTTGACCAGGACATGTCCTTCAACGCACATATTAAACAAATATGTAAGACTGCTTTCTTCCATTTGCGCAACATCTCTAAAATTAGAAATATCCTGTCTCAGAGTGACGCTGAAAAACTAGTTCATGCATTTATTACTTCCAGGCTGGACTACTGTAATTCATTATTATCAGGATGTCCAAAAAACTCACTGAAAAGCCTTCAGCTAATCCAAAATGCTGCAGCAAGAGTCCTGACAGGGACTAGAAAGAGAGAGCATATTTCTCCTGTTTTGGCTTCCCTTCATTGGCTTCCTGTTAAATCCAGAATTGAATTCAAAATCCTGCTCCTCACATACAAGGTCTTAAATAATCAGGCCCCATCTTATCTTAATGACCTTGTAGTACCATATCACTCCATTAGAGCTCTTCACTCTCACATTGCAGGCTTACTTGGTGTTCCTAGAGTATTTAGAAGTAGAATGTGAGCTATATAAATAAAATGGAATTTAATTAAATGTTTGTTTAGATACCAGAGAATATTCCATGAAAAGGTTAAAGTCTACACATTTTCAGTTAACATTTTGTGCTCTTAACTCATAATTATATATTTTATTGGTGGTCTAAGGAGCTTGGAAAGAAAAGCATCTGGACTTCTTTAAGCGTGCAGACTTAATTCAAATACATCTACTCTCTGTTTCATAAGGATAAGAGTGCAGATGTGGTGGATCATAAATTTGATTAGTTTTGAAGTTGTACATCTCTGTTCCTTACATTTCATGTCATGCCCTTATTAATGTTTTATTTGTTGCTTTGACTGTTTTCAAATAGAATATGCAGTGGGAATATAGAGGGAGATAAGTAGTGAAAGTTTTGCCTGGGTTGATTGTGTGTCGATCCATTGTTAATGCCTCAGGGCTCCAGTAGGTGGGTTCGCGCGCTTCCTCCTTCACTCAATACAGACGAGTGAGAGTGAGAGCTGCGTGTCTGTGCCTTTCTTTCACCTCTCCTCACTATTTCCCCTGTTTAAGGGCACAACACAGACATACTATATCCCAGTGTGGTTTGCCAGCTGCATTGCTCAAGAAAACCGCGCAATCATTACTCTTCAGCTGTGGATACATGTGCAATCAGTAATGATAGTTATACTGGCTGCTAATAAGGGTTAGATTGAAGGTTAGGGTCCTTCTGCAAATTCTAATATGATGCCATAAGCTGCTGATTTATTTGGATCTTTGTGTTTTTGCACTGGTTTGAGATGGCAGCAGCATAAGGCCAGCAGCCCTAACTCAATTTCCTTCGTGGCCAACCTTTGGGATCAATAAAGTTTATTGATTGATTGATTTTTTTTATTTTATTTACTCTGTTTTTATATTTGATTCTGTTTCACTTCACCCATTTTATCACAGGTTCACTTTTTGTAATAGTAACCCTTCATGCTGAAAAATGGAACATCTTCTCCAGGTATATCATCATCATATTGTGCTTTTGACACACCGATAGTTTTGACAAAACAAGATTACTTTAAGCAATGAGGACCAGAATGGACTGATCCATGAAGTCTTTAAAAACTGCAATGTTGATTTGTGACTTCTTGTTTTACAAGTCAGACTGGTAAAACGAGTCCAGAGTCCTGCTTTAAAATGGCAACTTTTTTCTCTAATGTTCTTTTCAGGAGTCCAGGCTGAAGAAAAACATAACTCAGGTAAATGCAGAAATCAAATACTCACAGAAGCAGCAGATAACTTTACTTTTCAGAAGTCAATTAACTTCTTTACTGATGACTCTGTGCTTTCTGTTCAGAGTCTGATGATGTCAGGTTGGTGGGAGGAGCCAGTCACTGTGCAGGAACACTGGAGCTGAAACATCTGGGAGAGTGGAGAATAGTAGATGGTTATGCTTGGACCCTGAAACATGCAGATGTTGTCTGCCAACTGCTGGACTGTGGCTCTGCTGTTTCTGTAGAATGGAGATTTGAGACCACAAACACACCTGTGTGGGAAATGAAAACTGAATGTATTCAGTCTGGATCTGCTGTGAGAGATTGTGTAACATCAGATTCATCTTCTGTCATCACCAATGTCACCTGTGCAGGTGAGCCTATAAGTATAAAGCGTGTCATAAGTGCAACACGTTCACATCAGCTTCTCAGGAGTCACAACAGAGAAAACTTTAGGATTCATCTGGACCAACCACCTCTCTCAAAGGTCTCTTTCAGTTTTCTGAACCACCGTGTCCCATCAGTACCTTCTTATCCATGACAAACAACAAAAACATGCTATCCACTAATTACAACAAATCCCATTGTACACACCCAGACTGTAGAAAGTCTTTGCTGACAAGCAGCATCTGATTGTTGTGACCTGTCTACTGTGGAGGTCTGCTCCATGTGTGTTTGAAAACACACTAAAATCAAAGATAGAGGCTATGTTTCCAGTCCAAAGTATAAATGAACACATCCAAGTAAAAAAGGAGCTACAAGGCAGATTTGAGTATAAAAAAAATGGAATACGTAAAGTCATAAGAGGCTAATATCATTAAGAATAAAAAGAAGCAAGTTTTGAACATTGTCAACATGTAATGCATGTTAATGATGAAGTCTAATCAGAATTGTGCTGAGTTTGAGTCAGTGAATAGTTGTTTGCTGCCATCTTTTTCTTGTGTGTCTGCTGTCTCTGATCTCTCTGTTTGATCTTCTCTGATGTCTCCAGACTCTGTCAGGCTGCTGAATGGTTCCAGTCTGTGTTCAGGCAGACTGGAGGTGAAGTCTGACCAGAGCTGGTCCTCAGTGTGTGAAGCTGACTTTGACCAGCAGGATGCAGAGGTGGTCTGTAGGGAGCTCGGCTGTGGGCCTCCTTCAGTCCTCCAGGGGGCGCTCTATGGAGAAGTGGAGGCTCCAGTGTGGAGCAAAGAGTTCCAGTGTGGAGGCCATGAGTCTGCTCTCCTGGACTGTAGAAGCTCAGGCTCAGCTAGAAACAGCTGCTCACCTGGCAAAGCTGTTGGACTCACCTGCTCAGGTAGAAGAGGAGCTGCTGCTTTGATGTGGTTCAAACTCACTTTACTCTTTCACTGATGACACTCTGATTTCTGTTCAGAGCCTGATGATGTCAGGTTGGCGGGAGGAGCCAGTCGCTGTGCAGGTACACTGGAGCTGAAACATCTGGGAGAGTGGAGACCAATGTTTGAGTTTGGCTGGACGCTGAAAGATGCAGCTCCTATTTGTGAACATCTGGACTGTGGTTCTGCTGTTTCTTTACAACACACCAAGTCATCATTAGAATTTAGCTGGAGGATCAAACCTGACTGTGTTCAGTCCAGATCTACTCTGAGAGAGTGCACAACATCGGGTTACTACAACCCCATCCTGAATCTTACCTGCGCAGGTAAATATATTTTTGTTGTTATTCAAATCAGATCAATTCAATTTTATTTACATACAGCCAAGTCACAACAGGAGCTATGCTTTATATTGTAAGGTAATGACCCTACAATAATACAGAGAAAGGCTCAGCAATCATATGACCCTTATAAGCAAGCACTGTGGTGACAGTGGGAAGGAAAAAAACTCCCTTTTAACAGGTGTTTTTTCTTCACTTATTATGTGTTTGCACACCTCTCTGCAGGAGATTTCTTCCTCTGAAAAGGGAGTTTTTTCCTTCCCACTGTAACCATAGTGCTTGTTTATAAGGGTCATATGATTGCTGAGCTTTTCTCTGTTTTCTCTATATTATTGTAGGGTGTAGCTTACAACATAAACATCCTTGAGGTGACTGACATCATGATTTGGCACTGTATAAATAAAATTTAACATGTGTTAGATTGATTGGTGATTTGAAAGTAGCCATAGGTGTTATCATGCGCAGGGATGCCTCTTTTAACACTGTATCCTGTTCAAGATTTAGCTTCCTTTGACCATGACTGTTGGTATAGGCTCCGCCCTCTCAGAAATCTGAACCGAATGGATGGAAGAAAATGGAGAGACTGGTCTTCTAAATAATCACACCACTGATCATGCCTCTATGAACTATCATTTTTACAGTTACAAGTTACCAAAAAAATTCAAAGAATTTGAAAACGAACATATCAGAGGTTTAAAAGCTAATAATTTCAGTTCCTCCTCTTACAAGACATTGCCCGATTGCATATTTTCACATTACAGTTAAAAGTGTTTTGACCTGCTTCTGAAGAAATAAAATAAGCTGAATGTAATTTTAAAGATGAGTTCTGTTGTTAATGATGAAGTCATGTTGAGTTGTGCTGAGTTTGACTCAGTGAATAGTTGTTTGCTGCCATCTTTTTCTTGTGTGTCTGCTGTCTCTGATCTCTCTGTTTGATCTTCTCTGATGTCTCCAGACTCTGTCAGGCTGCTGAATGGTTCCAGTCTGTGTTCAGGCAGACTGGAGGTGAAGTCTGACCAGAGCTGGTCCTCAGTGTGTGAAGCTGACTTTGACAAGCAGGATGCAGAGGTGGTCTGTAGGGAGCTCGGCTGTGGGCCTCCATCGGTCCTCCAAGGGGTGCTCTATGAAGAAGTGGAGGCTCCAGTGTGGAGCAAAGAGTTCCAGTGTGGAGGCCATGAGTCTGCTCTCCTGGACTGTAGAAGCTCAGGCTCAGCTAGAAACAGCTGCTCACCTGGCAAAGCTGTTGGACTCACCTGCTCAGGTAGAAGAGGAGCTGCAGCTTTGATGTGGTTCAAACTCACTTTATTCTTTTACTGATGACTCTCTGCTTTCTGTTCAGAGCCTGATGATGTCAGGTTGGTGGGAGGAGCCAATAACTGTGAGGGCATGATGGAGCTGAGACATCTGGGAGAGTGGAGACCAGTGTGTGCCTTTAGCTGGACGCTGAAAGATGCAGCTTTTGTGTGTAAACATCTGGACTGTGGCTCTGCTGTTTCTGTTGACTCAAGACATGAGTCTTTAAAGAGACCTGCATGGTGGATCAAATATGATTGTGTTCACGTCAGATCTGCACTGAAGGACTGTACAGCATCAAGTTACCATACCTTCATCCTGAACATCACCTGCTCAGGTAAAATATGTATGACATAATTTAAGACGGTAATGTAGCAGGTTAACATACACAGTAGCAGGAATAGCAGCTGACTGTCTCCAGCCATCATGAAGGCTGACATTTAGAAGTACTCTGAAGGAACCTCTGACCAGTCTGAAAGGACTCTTTCAGCCTAACAGTTTTTTTAGTTGCTGATTACAGTTTATGAAGTAATGTGCTCGAACAGCAACTATGCTAACACAAATCACAGCTAGGTCTAGAAAGGTGAACTTAGGGCATGGGCTGATATGGAAGTGGAGATTTGTGAACTGGACCAAGAAACTGAACAGACAAGACGAGGTGGGAGATACAGGAACAAATGATGAGACATCATTTGAGATGAGGCATCAGTGATGGTACAGTTGGCTGGAACTACTCAATAGAAATTAGTTCTTGTTAACATGATAGTGGCAGGTGTCTCTAATCCAGGTGTAGGCAACTCCAAGCCTCAAGAGCCGGTGTCCTGCAGGTTTTAGATATCCCCCTGGGTCATCACACCTGAATAAAAGGATTAGTTTATTAGCAGGCATCTGGAGAACTATGCGACACGTTGAGGAGGTAAATCAGCAATTTGAATCAGCTATGTTGGACCAAGGACACATCTAAAACCTGCAGGAAATCCTAACCGTAACCCTACCCTTGAGGTCTGGCGTTGCCTACCCCTGCCCTAATCCTACCCACAGATCATACTGTTCCTCCTGCTCTACCTGCAGCATTTATGTCATTATTTTACAGCAATGCAAAAAATACTGGACCAATTGTAGGTTTATAGGAGCGTTGGAGCAAAGCACAATAAAAAAAGATCAGAGCTAGAAATCTTTAAATGACTACCATTACTAAATACAACAACAAACAAAAAGTACAGCTCCAGCCATTGTTACATAACGCTGAACCCTTCTTTGAATAAAACTGAATTCAGTTAACAATTCCCCTCCCTAAGTTGTTTCCTTAATTATCTAGTTTTTGTCTCTTCTTTTTAGTGAAAGAAGGACAAAGGGTTATAAATCTTAAAATTGGCATTTGTGGATTGAGCAGAGAAATCCACTTTTTTTTCACCAACACGAAAAACAGTCATGATCAATAAATCAACATGGGTATGAGTCACAAGTTTTATCACTTTCCCTAAATGATGCAAAGAGGACAAAACTAAGGTTACATTCACATGTACACAGGTATTTTTCTTTTAAACATGTTCCTTTCTTTGTGTTTTGGCCTTTCGTCCAGTATTCTGGATGAAAGTATTTTGGATGAAACAGTATTTTGGATCAACAAAAAAGATTTTCATAACCTGGGTGAAGATTTTCAGAAACGCAGTATTTGTGTTGCTGTGTGGCAGACAACAACAGAGATTTTTTTCTCACAAAATCAGAGGCCTGCACCTGTATCTCCATTTTGTCATGCCAGACACTGCACCATACACCATGACTGGGGGCTTTTGAATGGCTAATATTTTTTTCATTATTTGTGTTTTATCACCACCTGTTGCTTGCTGTGCTCATGGCAGCACTTCATAGTGATGATGATGATGATGCTCCCAATCCACTGGTTTCCAAACCCTTCCAAGTGTCAACTACTACCTTACTCAGAATAAATAAACCAGCCAGGCAACCATTTTTGATCTTTGTTACGTACAGTCATCTCTACTTCTGGATGCCTTTTTTGGGTATCTGCCCCGGCCGAAAGCTGCTCCCATCCCCCTGTCAGGCCTTTCCTTAACTACAGCCTCAATTCATGTTCAAGCCATCTGGCGTTATCCACTTAAAATGCTGTCAAACCTTAAATGAGGATGTGGCCCCAGCTATTGAATTGGAGATAAATTATCTGTTGGACTACACCTCCAAACATGTCCCATCTGGTTCCCTGTTACCCTCCCCACCGGCTCTATAAGCTGTTCATTCTCCTTTTGGTGTCCCACCTTCCCTCCCCATTTTTGATTCATTCACTTATCATTAGTTCATGGGGAAGATTGTGTGAAATCTAAAATGAGGGTGTAGGACCAGGTAGTGAAAAAGACCAAGTCTTACTTCTTGCTGTGTTGTTGCACCTGTAAACTGGAAGATGGTAAATAGACTAGTTCATGTATAGCGCTTTTCAACTCTATCTGAGCACTCAGAGCACATTACTTTACTTGCCTCATTCACACCAGCACTTTTTTCTATCTAACATTCACACACATTCATACTCTGATGGATGCATCCGATAGCAATTTGGGGTTAGTATCTTGCCCAAGGAAATTTAGTGTGCAGACTGGGATCTAACCACCAACTTTCCAATTAGTAATGGAGTACCACCTGAGATAGAGCCACCCCGACAAGGCTGTCTGCTATGGGTAATACACTGACTAGGCACAAGTACCTCACACAACCACACTTAAAGACAACTGAACTACCAGTCTCACATTTACACACTTATCAATTTTGATGTAACCATATTTGAAATTTGAGCGTATATGAAATCCTCTCCCCCCCTTACTTTCAAACAGGTGATAATTTCAATAACTTAATCTTCATAGATCAGTAACTGAGTCAACAGAGCTAATATGGAGCTGACTCATGGAGCAAATAATCGGCTGAATTTAGCCATTCTTCAGATAAATAGTCTAATAGCCTAAATAGACCGCAACTGCAGTTATCAATTCCAACTGAAATTATTTCAGTTTGTCCTCAATACATTACTGTTTAACATTATTTTATAGCCCTTAGAATATTCTAGAATGTACCAGATACATTTTGAATACATCAGGTACTCGGCAAAGGCATGCTTATAACTACTTACCAGGAGATAGCCAGGGCCAACCAACATTAGCAATTAGAGCAGGGCGATATGACCAAAAATATTTATCACGATATACATCTGAAAATTTGCGATAACGATATAGCTGACGATATAATTGACACTAGACAAAATACTTTACAACTCCTCAACTTTATTAGTTCAAAAAACCCATCAATGTATTTTCACTTAAACAAGCAGCTGTTTTTTTATGTGTATTAAAGTTATATAAAAATTTAATTTAACAGTGCAAATGCAAATTCCTTGCTGACAGTTTAACCAAAACTTAAAAAGAGGTTATACACACACAATACGGTAATATTATGTTGAAGCACAGTACGTATCACTCCGCGAGGCTCCTCCCCGGTAGCCGTAATCCTCCGACAATCCATCAAGCTTAGCAAAGTCGTACTAAAACATTTGACAGTGCTGTGTACAACATAAAATCATTTTGAGGTCAGTAAACACAACCAGAATTCATACATAAGGCACACGGGATTATAAGGGGCACTGTGGATTTTCAGAAAAATCAAAGGATTGATTTTAAGTGTGCCGTATTTTCCAAAAAACACGGTAATAACGACGGCCCGCTTGCATGCTCTACCAAAAATAGTGCTTTGTTGTGTATCTGACAGACGAAAGCTAAACCAGTTCCACACCACTGAAGTTGCAGCATTTTTACAAACCAATTCTGGTTCATCCGTTTCATTCAGCGATCCGCTTTCGCCCTTCTCATTCTCCGTTGGCGACATGCTTTTTCCGCCATGTGCATATGAAAACAAAGGCAGTGCACATGCGCGTTTTACCCTTATTCTATCACAATATTTCATTTTCTTATCGTTGCCCAACATTATACTGGTATTACCATGAATGGTATGATATGGCCTAGCCCCAGTAGCAGTTTTTGATACGGCCGACACGGGCGGTTGCCCGGGGCGGCATCGTGGTGGGGGACGCCATCACAGACATCGGCAAAAAAAAAGTTGCTCGCACTCTGCTGCTGACCCTACATCAGCCAGCGCATTTTGGAGATGGCATAGGCACCGATCGGTTTTCTATCACCCATTTGCTGGGAGTAACGATGTGTTCACACCGAACGCGATAGACGCGATCAAAACGCGCCAGATTCACACCTCGACGCGTGTCCAACGCGAATTCATCGCGTGTCAAACCTGAAATGTGGGAGGAAGTTGTGCCAGACGGTATCTTTGCAAGATGGCAGCTGTCGAGCTAGCACTTGAAGAGAGAGTCTCCCTTCTCTATTCACCGTGGAGAGCAGAGCAGCAGCGTAAAAGACGTCCTCGCCGTACCTGGGTCCATCAGATCCTGCAGAGGCGTGACCAGTTTGGTGAGTTTCACCACTTGCTCCACGAGCTGCGCCTGGATGACGGCCGCTTTCAGCGATACCACCATCTTTCCCTCGCTCAGTTTGAGGACCTGCTGTCCCACGTTGGTCCCAGTATCGCCAAGACACCAACTACAGGCAGAGCGCCTGTCCATCTGCCTGTGGTTAGTAAAAGTGTTTAATATGGTAGTCCTTTATTGATACCTGTGCTAATATATGCTAAACTATTGTTTATACACTGCTAACATGGATGTGGTATGCTAACAGTGAATGCTGTTGGTGTTTACTGAAAGAAAACTGTGGTATGGAGACGACTGTTTATAATATTTCTAGTGATTTATGCTGTTATCAGTGTTTGCAATGATAGCATGGCTGTGGTGTCATATCAATGTATGCTCTCGGTGTTTGCTGATATCAAACTGGTATGAGAACCACTGTGGGTTAATCTTTGTAGTGATACTCACTCCTTTTTTTTTTTTTATTTAGACCTGGTTTGATTCTGGGATAGTTGAATATTTGTATATAATCCCTGCAGCTGTCAGACTCTATAACAGGGGTCACCAGCCTTTCTTAAAACTGAGAGGCAGATAAAATTGTGAACAGTTTTTAGTTATATGGTTCTATCTAGCATATTTTATCTTGATATGCTGTCTTATCACAGCATATTTTTTTTCCAAAATATTAACAATGATTTAAGCAAGGAAAGGGCTACATGTCAACATCCAACTCTTTATTTCTATTAATGTCTTACTTCATTCCTACCTGATTGACATGTTTAGGAATTATGAGTGATTGGCTCACTGTAGTTGTAAAAGTTGCTACCAATCAAATTATGATACATTAAAGTTAAAACAAAACACAACTGACTGTTTTAGATATCATCTAATATACATTTTGTAATTATCCTTAATAATTACAAAATGTTTTATGTAAAATTTATGTTTTGTGATTTAAAGCTGACATCACAAAAGTATTTTGGAATTTGAATAATGTATCTTGTAACTGCAGTACACATAATACTGATTTTGAACAATTTTGTCCAGGTTCCTTGCCACCGGGGACTTCTTTAGGACCAACGCGTTCAGTTTCAGAGTCGGTGTGTCCACGGTGTGCCAGATCACCCCCCCAGGTAGCAATGGCCATCTGGGACTGTCTAGTGGACAACTTCATGGCTGTGCCTTCACCTGGAGACTGGCGGTCCATCACAGAGGGATTCCAGGAGCGCTGGAACTTCCCTCTGTGCTGTGCAGCTCTGGATGGGAAGCACGTCCAGACAAAGGCACCCCATATATCATATAGGAGACACACACATTGATATACACTAAATATTTATTTCATTTCTTTTTTGTGGTGCCCAAATTTATGCACCTGCTTGATTTTGTTTAAACAATTATTGCACACTTTCTGTAAATCCAGTAAACTTCTTTTCACTTCTCAAATATCACTGTGTGTGTCTCCTGTATGATATTTAACTGACATTTTTTATTGTAACAACCAACGATTTATACAGGAAAATAATGTCTATTAACAAGGTTGCCCAAACTTTTGCATCCCACTGTATTAGTATATTTTGTCATTAGTATAATATGAAATAAATTCTACATGTGTCAAGTCGTGTGCCAACATTTGCTGTGTAGTAGAACTGAGACATTAGTCATTATAAAAATTTATTTGAAATAATATTAAAATTCTCAAACAGAAAAACATTAAACATAAATATATAAAATATAAGAATTTACAGAGAGACAGGAATAAAAAGGACCAGCTGCTCTCCAGAGCAGGAACAAGGCTGAGGAGGAAATGCTCCATTGGAGACTGGTGTGGCCTCTTCAGGGACACCAGGATGGCCAGCTCCAGCGCTGATGGACCGTCCTGGGACCCGTCCCTCATCTGCCTCGGAGCTGTCCTCCACTGAGGGCCTGTAAAACAGCACAAAACACAAAGAAATGAGAAGGCTGCGACTAGACTTTAATTTTCAACATTGAAAAAATCTGTTATAAACAGATTGGTTGTAGATATTTAAAGATATTAAAGATATTTAAAGATATATAAAGGTAATCACAAGGGAATCCCACCAAGTAAAAAGTTATCAGTGCTTGCTGTACATCTGATGCTACAATTACATGAGCAGGAGCTCAGGAACTGGGAAGCCAGGAGAAGCAACAGGGGATGCTCTGCTGCAGAATCAGTTGGTTCTATCAAGTAAATATTAAATGTTAACAGATTGAATACAATAATCAAAGAGAAAGTATATACAGTGGTCCCTCATTTACTGCAGCAGGGGTTCTCAGAATAACTAGCCCCTCGCTACAGACTTTATACACTGTTTTCCCCACACTCATGAACATTGGTCACAGTTCTCATAAGTTGATTCTCAAAGTGCAAACCTTTGTAGATTGCAAAACGTAAAAGTAGCAGTGACGGATGAACACCGGGACCACTGTGTGCTGTTTATTAATAAACAATAACATATATTCCTATATGACAATATGCATAAAAGCAGAATGTTATTTGTACATCAGTGGAAAAATAGTGGTGGCTTGCTAGCTTTTGGGCAGCTTCCCAAAAGCTAGCAAGAGCATCTGGCTGCAGCCACTGGGGAACGCCATATTGCGACCTCCACACTAACCGGAAACACGTAACTTCAGTTAAATCGACTTTGACAGTGAAAACTAAATTGTATTTTTGTTACTATTGATGCTGCTGACAAATAAATTTGATTCTAAGTGGGGGTTTTTTTAACAGTCTGGGTTTATTAAAAAAAAAAAATCACCATCCCTCCAGCTTTTTTGTGGCCAAAAGTGTCCATGAGTTATGTTTTTGTTTCTTTGCTACTTTTTCTGCATAAAGTTTTTTCACAAATATAAAATAGTCATTACGTTTTACATTTTTAATCCTTCAAACACCCTTTTCTAGTACAATGCACTTGTTTGAAGACAACCTCAAACCCACCATCTCATATATGAGCAGTGCTACTCGAAATTATTGTACAGTGATCCCTCGCTGTAACGCGGTTCACCTTTCACGGACTCGCTGATTTTTTTATTTTTATTTTTTTTAACAGCAAATTGTTTTGTGCGTTCTGATTGCTGTAGACCATTGTCAATCAATCTAGTGCCGTGTCTTCTGCACGGCAGCAGTCCCCAACACCCAGGCCCATTTGGTACTGGGCCGCGAGAGTTGAGGCTCGGGTGTGAAGTGTATGGTTTTCAGGGATTTTAATCGTTAAGTTGGGCTCCCTGGGTCTTTTCCCGTGTTGTAGCCGTGTGTCTTATTGTGAAAGAACTATTTACGCGTTACCATAGCATCCAGAGAGCATCAAGAAGCAGAGAGGAGGATGTTGCTCTCAATGTTGTTGGTGCATTTCAGGAGGACACTGCTAATAAAGTTACACAATCACACAGTGAATTTGCGTTTATTATCATATTTACAAAATACTACAGTTTTTGCCTTTGTCTGTATCATTTTATTTTG